AATGTAAATTGGGTTAGGAGTCCTGATGTAATATTTTCTCCGAAGCAGGAGAGGGGAAAGCAGGAGCAAGATAGGCTAGGGTTTTAAAAGAGTTTTCTCTTTTACTATTGTTATTATTATTTAAATGCACTTATTTGTGTGCAATCTGCTTGTGCTCTGAATTGTATCAATGTGAGTCTTCTTTTTATATAAAATCGATGTTTCATACGTGCTCGCATGGTATGTTTTATCATATGGTGTCTTCTTGATAAGTTCATCAACAATCGAGCCAATTTAATTTCGACTTACGTGTGACACGGCGAATAACTTTTGTAGATCCAATCGAGGTCGTTCGGCCAGCAAAATGCCAACTGGCCTTCGCCTAAGTGATGGGAGAAGTCTAGCAAAACTATCCCTGTAACCCGTTTTTGAACACGCGCCAAAGAGTCTTAAATTCCCATCACAAAGGCCTTCATTTTATTTAAGTGTGACTTTAATTTTGATCAGTGGATTGTATGTGAATTGTAGTGTTTGTGAGTGGTGTAAGTGTGTATGGAAGATTGAAAACCCCTAAGTTCAAAAGGTCTTCTGAAGGCATTTTTCAATTCTCATAGGAACTCAACTTGAGTTTTAATATGTTGGTTTCAACCGACTCAACTAAATTTCAAGAATTTGAAACCACACATATAAGACTACAATGAATCAAATAGTGGTTTGAATTTCTAAGTGGTGTGGGTTCCAATATTATTCCTCTAGGAGAGTCAGTAGGGGAAATCTTGTGGCTAGATTTTACGCTCTAAAGAGGAAAACAAATCTCACAAAAAACAATGACAACAGTCGGCACCAACCCGATCCCCTTAACTGATCGTCCTTCATCGATCAATCACCCCAGCCTGATCGACCATTCCTCGTCGATCGATCTCCTGGCCGGTTCAATCGACCACTTTGATTAGCTCGACCGATAGGTCATCATTGGCCCGGTCACCTCGACCGACCATTCTTCATCGATCAAACGCCCCTGTCCAATTGACCATTCCTCATCGATAGACCGCTTACATCAACTCGATAGACCATTTTTTGTTGGCTCATCTGATCAGCCGTTAGCATTATATATAAGAGCAGTCTTGTTGCAAGGTGTCACATTCAACAAGGAGGAGCTGTAATGATTTACGTTAAAACATTTTTCCGCAGGAGTTGTTAGGCTCCCCTCCCGCCGGATGTAGTTTATTTCATGTTGCATGCTTTAACATGTACCAACCACTCTATTTTGCAGGTTGAGTCTATTTTATTTTACCATGTACTTTTAGGTAGAGTTTGTACTATAAATAAAGTATGCATACGGGTTATGAGGTGTCGGACTGGTGGAACCATGTGACGTGGACTGAAAGTTGGAGGCTCGTGTCTCGTACCGTAATTCAAAAATCTCATTCATGTATAGAACTAGTACTGGGCTTGTATATGCAATGTCTAGCCACATTTTTTTTATTTTTGGGACTTGTTTTTAACCCAACAACACCATGCCTTTTTTTTCTTTCATACTTAGCTTGTTTTACTTTACTTGCACAATGTGATTGACTTGGTTTCGCCCTTTTTATCTTATAAATTGTCTGGGAATCATGCATGTAAATTAAGCTCTTTAAAGACCTAAAATTCTAAATTTTCTTCAAAATTTTAATAAAAAAATTGAGACTGATTAATTTTAAGATTAAAACATTCAAGATCTTAAAAAATTTATACTATATTTTTCCACATGACCTTCGAGTTGGATTTTAAATGGGTTGTATGCATGGCTATATCTCCTGTCATATTAATAGAGTTTCCATATTATGATTGATTAGCTCACTGCTTCATTCTACATGTCATAACGAGAACCATCTGTGCTTCTCGAACTCGACTGAACCAACATAGATTTCTACTTGGGTAATATTCTAATGCATTTAGGGTTTTAGAGGCTTAACCCAAACTTAAAGTAAGTTCTTTATGAGAGTTTTTTCAGCTTTGTAGCTGGACCCCTCTTTTCTCTTCTTTCAAGTGACTTATTTGCCACTTTAGTAAGTATAAGTCCCACCTCTACTTTCTACTTATATAGGGTCATATTATTTAGAGTTTCCTTCTTTTGACATTAAGGCTATCAAGGTCTCGTTGGAAGAAACAATTCATGGATTACTAATAAAGGATCTTTGATTATGTTGAGGCAACTACCTTCGTGATCAGGTGGACTTGTGATCCTAATAGCTTGGGATGATGAATTCATTGTATCCTAACTTGACCATCTCTATCCAATCAGGATTACTCTACCTACATTTGTTTGCTCTCTTTGAGCTGTGTCTCTTCTTTGACGCTATAGGTCCTGATTGTGGATAGGCTGCAATATATTTGGGATACGGTGATTCACCCTATACCTTTATGTTCTGGTTAGGCCTTTGAAGCATAGTGTAGACTTTTATGAGTTGACCTGGTTATTTCGTAGGCCTCGATTACCAATGAGTCTCCCCCAATTTAAGATGCAGAGACTCACTCTCTACCCTGAGGCTTGAGGAAAGCTTTGAAAGTTTTGAGATGCTTTTGTGAGATGACCATCCTTTATGGCACTTCTCACTAGTTGTCACTTGAATGTAAGCGGGATTCCTTTAATCGAGAGTATTATTGGGAATCTCATAAGATGTAATTAATTAAAATGATATATTCCTTTAGAAGGTGCTCTTGACCCCAGAATAGACACACACACTTGAATCTCTGGTTGTGGGTTACTTTCATAGGGTCTTCTTTGCGGATATATTCTAAAATATTTTAGACCCAATTCCATTTTTTGACATTCACTTTTGGGTTTTCACACAAAGTTTACTTTACGAAAGTTTTCAACATTCTTTCTTGTTTATCTACCTTCATTATATATCCTTATTTTTTTTAATTCCTCCCTTCTCAAAATCATCCATATGATCCAGAAAAATAGATTTATTCGAGAATGAGAATTATACGACGATAGACAAGCATGACGCTCTTAAAAAAAAAGAGAAAAAAAAAATGATGAAAATGAGTCGGAAACGCTGTAAACCACGGAGGAGCGTCAAAGGAAATGGGTTTGCGAAGGCGAAGAAGAAAACAGTGAAGTGTGGCCTCAGTTCGCTGATAGGTATTTTAGATCATTAACATCCACTAATTGTGACATTATTAAGTAAGTTTAGCGTCGGACTATACCAACGTTATTCCATCGCTACAACATCGACTTATCATTGCCAGCTTGATGCAACTCGTCTGTGCCAATATTTTTATTCTTGAAACAGCGTGCGACGCTAAACTAATGCAAATCAGACGTTAATTTATATTCAAACTCATTTCTAATACTAATTCATACGCCAATCAATAATTTTATTGTAATGATGTATTTTAATAAATTGACCTCTTTAATCCTGGAGCTCGTCGACTTTTTTGCAAGGATTCATGTCATTCACTCTCATTAACAAATCATTTGCCCTAGCATTTACTGAAGTTGGGAGTTGCATGAGCTATAATAACATTCACTGACTATTAAGTTCATAGTTGGGAGTTGCATGAACTTTGATAATGTCTGTAGGCTATAGATGCCTGTGTTTAGAGTTGCATGAGCCGTGACAACGTTCGTAGGCCGCAGAGGTTGGAGTTGGGAGCTGGACTGGCTGTGATAATGTATGGATGCTGCAAATGCTCGAGTTGGGAGTTGCACGAGCTGTGATAGTGTCCATAGGTAGCAGAGGTCAGAGTTAGGAGCTGCAAGAGTTATGGTAATATTCGTAAACTGCATAAGCTATGGTGGGGAGGTCTATAAGATGTGATAACGTTCTTAGGCCTCATAGGCTACAATTAAGAGCTGCACAAGTTGTGGATCACACATTTCATAGTTAGTGACATAAGTTTTAGTGGTGAACTGCAATGAGAGAGCTTTCAGAGTCTGGAGAAAGTCACCATATTTTGAGTATAATAATTATAAGCATTTGTTGTGAGGTGTATCATTCCATCGTATATGAGATGTGCTGTTACACCATTTTCGGAATGAGTCGTTGTGTCGCATGTGACGCGCCCCATCGCATGGTGAACTGGACAATGAACAACTCTACCAAGTGCTTCACTGTTATGCACTGTATGTCGGGATTCTGAAACACACATTGTGACTCCACAAGGGATTTCACCACAAAACATCATGTGGCAGTCGATGGTGATCGATTATTATCAACAAGCGATGGTCGATAGCAGTCGATGACTGTAGGAGTATGAGTGGCTCACTAGAAATTCAGTGTAAAACTCGGGGGTTCAAGTCCTTTCATTCTTTGGTTCAAGGTTTAGGTCCTATTCATGAAGGGGGCATGAGTCTACAGTTGAAATCTAAGAGACGCCACATTACAAATAAGGAAAGAATTTGAACCACTCAATAGAACAACCCCGAAAGATTACTTTGATTGAACAACATTTTGCAGACACTTAAGTACATTAGTGATGCCGGAATTGAATGCTCTTGGGTTTGGTGGATTTGTTTCATCGGGACGTTTGATTCGACTATGAGTTTGTCAGATTTGGAATTCTTTTGACCTTCAATTGGACACTTAAATCTTCCCAAAATGACTTAGCGACCTGATTTAGGCTTGGTTCAACTCGTGTTAAATTAATTTTGGTGTCATTGGGTCAGTATTTTAGAGCTGATCAGTTTGATTATAAGTTTGATAAAAATTAGAGCTTTAGATAATTTTTAATTTGAATTTGAACATTCATGCAAAAAAAACACTCTATGATTCGTGCTAATTGTATCGAGATTAATGCCAAATAATAAGTTTTGTCGATGTCTTATCAATGTTCATTCAATATCTCTTTGTATGAAAATTATTTTTCATTTTTTTAAAGTTAAAATTGATATTTTTAGTATGATATGAAAGATTTGGGTGGTGTGATTATAAAAATTAAAATTTAGGTGTTAGATATGGGAACAAGTAACAATTGGGTGGTATTTATGCACATGCACCAACACTCAATATGTAAATTTTCCTAAAATTAATTGGTAGACTTCAAAAATCAGACTGGGCGGGCCTCCTCAGCCCTGCCCATTGCACCATGCACACCTTCGGCGATTCCAATTTCCTTCCGCGCCAATCAATGGGCTGCGACGCCTCCTTTCTAGGCGGCAGCACGTCGTTTCTCTCGACTGCGGTTGTCCGTCACCGGAAGCGAACCACTCGATGCGAACTTGCCGGCCATTGGTGCTTCGGTGAGCCCAGAGATCGGCGCTGGTACAATCCAAAGAGGCATCGCCCGCTGACCTACCGCCGTTGGGTCGAAGCTGAGAACTCCTCCGACTTGCTTGAGTCCGGAGAAGGTAAAATAGTAATCTATTCTCTTGGTTAGTACATTTGGGTTCTGGGGTTTTGTGTGAGAGCGATTTCTTGGAAATCACCGTATTGAGATATTAGCGGGCTTATGCTGAATTCTGAGATGGTGGATTTATTCTTTTTTGGCTGCGTGTCTTCTTTTTTGAGTGGAAAAACAGCTAAGAAAGAGGTCAAGGGCTGTTGGTTGAGAAAATTTATGGTTTTCGCAGTTATTTGGTTTAGAAAAGAGGTTTTCATTGGAATAACGGAATAAAAGCTATTTTTTATAATTCCTTCTGTTATACGAGGTATACAAGAAATTGTAAGCAAGGTGAAAGGATGGGTGGCTTAGTTGTTAGAGAATATTGTTTCTCCATAGCTCAGATTAGAGCTATACCTTTTTTGTTTCTCCATGTCTCAGATTGGAGCTATACATTTTATGATTTATTGCCCACCATTCCAGAAAATAATAATTAGCGGTATCACAGGAAATTGTAGGCTTGGGATTGTTCAAGTTTTTAACTTATTTTGTGATAGCATAAACGGTGAGGTAGCTTGTACTTGTCATTTGGATGCAAAAAGCTGCACATTTTTTCACAGATTTTCTCCAGTAGCCTCAAAAAGCTAATATTTTGACAACAAAATTACAACGGTGATCTATAACTATGTAAGGCAGCTTTTATGAAGTTTTGACTAAAAAAATAGTGAAGCAACGATTGTTGATGAAGGGCTAAAAGTTAGATATTTAGGATTGCTAGTAATAATAATGTGGGCCGAGGCGATCATCTGGATTAACTTAGGCAGGAAAGGTTGATGATGATTTTAAAAAACTGCAAGAATTATTTTCACAGATTTTCTCCAGTAGCCTCAAAAAGCTAATATTTGGACAACAAAATTACAACGGTGATCTATAACTATGTAAGGCACCTTTTATGAAGTTTTGACTAAAAAAATACTGAAGCAACGATTGTTGATGAAGGGCTAAAAGTTAGATCTTTAGGATTGCTAGTAATAATAATGTGGGCCGAGGGGATCACCTGGATTAACTTAGGCAGGAAGGGTTGATGATGATTTTAAAAAACTGCAAGAATTATTTATACAACATAACAAAAAGTGGGTACTATTAATCTTATAATGGAGATTACTGGTGGAAATTTTGAAGGATAAGGATTTTGGTGATTTTCCTTGAGGCTGACTTGTATACTGTCGAATACTGACTGTCCCTTGGTTTGGGAATTTTATGTAAAGACATGGAGTAGAGAAATAGTAAGATTGTTGATTATTTGTACTTGCATTGGTGATGGAAGAGAAGCAAAAGAAGGGCTTTCTTTGTTGGGGTAAACAAGCAAAATTTACATTTTTTTAAAAAGTAATTGTATTGCAAATTTATCTTGCAAAAATTTGCCCCATGTTCGATGGCTGTTTGACAGATAGATTTATGCTCATATCTTACAACATCCTGGGTGTCAATAATTCTATGGAACACCCTGACCTTTATATAAATGTTCCCTTTGATGCAATTCAATGGGAATCAAGGAAAAGGCTTGTTTCTGAGGATATAAGGAGATGGAATGCTGATATAGTGTGCCTTCAGGCAAGCATGTTTCTTAACTCTTTCTGTTCTTTGAGGTCCCATGTTTTTTTTTTTCGTATTATTTGTGCCGAATTAAGCGTTATTGGATGCACATGCTTCATAATTTTCAGGAAGTGGATAGATATTATGACATTGAGAATAAATTGAAGAAAGACGGATATGTTGGTAGATTCAAGGTAGTGCATTTCTTTGTTGGAAGCGGACTTGACTTCTGTCTATCATTAACTGATTGGGCATGAAATATTTGTAGCGCCGCACCGGAGTCGCTAAGGATGGATGTGCAATATTTTGGAAAAATGAAAGGTATATCCTATGAAGACTTAAACCGTTAGACGTGCATTTGGTGGCGGAATGATAGCTTCTATTTGGCTTTTAGGTTCAACTTGCTCGAGGGGAATGAAATTGAGTTCAAAGATCTCGATCTTCGTGATAATGTAGCTCAACTTTTTGTTTTTGAGGTAAATATGGCGCCAATGACCTTGTGGAAGTATTTTTATCTATTCAATTTACATTTCTTTTCCAATTTAACCGAGCAATTGGACTGCTATTGACAAAAAAATTATTTTAAATATGGCATTATACATTTAGTTGAAATGGTTGAGTGTTGTCCTTGTTAGATTTTTTTGAGATCTTGTTAGCTTTAGTCCGAATAAAAAAAAAAAAAAATCTTGCAGAACTTACTGCAGTGGATTGAATCCATGCTGAATGAATTATCTCATCACATTATTTCCATTTTCATTTATACCATCCAAAAATTGAGATTCTTCAAACGTAAGGAAGATGCAATTCAGATATATTGCAACACACACACATAAAATAAATCATAAAGCCTATAGATGAGAGATGTAAATTGTGTATAATATATGCTGAGCACATGTTCCTGATGTGATGCGAGATATATAAAATGTGACTGACAGGTTTCCATGTAGCAGAAAATAATTATATGTGACACCTCAGGCAGTGTTCAAAGGCATATTATGATGTGTAACGTGATGTAAATGTCTATTCTTCATGCACAATTGGATTAGGAAAAATTTATATGAGAAGGCTGGTTAGGAAGGAGTGTAACAAAACATGCATGTAATAACTATTTAAAAGAACTTGGCTAAATTATACTCCACAAAAGATCAGTTATATAAAATCAAAATAAATAATTCAAACTGCATATAAAATTGGAAAATGGTTATAAAATATGATGACAGTTGTGACATGATATCCTTTAAAGAACTCCACTTATAAGGTAGGCATCCTACTTGATATGACTATATGCATCTGTCAAGTTGAATGATTTTGTGTGCATGCCCCTTTTACGCTCATGCTGAGCATTTAGCTTGACTAAGTCTAATGCTAAATGCAGGTTTTAACTAGAATGAATATAGAAAAGTATTTCATGAAGCACACAAAATGATTTTGATACTGTTGACCATTTGATAAGAAAGACAATTTCTCAAAGAGTTCCTTCACTGATAAATTGAGTATCTAACTCATACTATTTTGTATTTGCAAATAACACTCAAAGTCTAAGCCTATTTTTATAGAAGATATTCAATTGTGGCTATTCTCTTATAGATAGTTATTCACCATTTTTCATACATTTTTGCTTATTTACTTCAGTTTTGAAATTCAGAGTCTTATTTTGATTTAAGTGTAAGCCTGTAACTAGACCATAATATTATTTGATGCCAACTTTTTGTCTCAATTTATATGCTACTGAGCTAGGTTGTTATATTTTGTTAAATTTTGCTACAGTTGCTCTTTTATAAAGATATTATGTATTATTTAAAGCAAACTCTCGTTTCCTTTATTAATTTTGTAGCGTCCAATGGATAACGCTTTTTTACTTGGCTTCAGCTTCCCTTTACAACATAAACACCTTAAAGGCATTTGATAGGATTTGAATTTTGTTGTGCGAAATATTTAACTATATGAAAGCTGAAGGGTTTCTTTCCCTTAATGGTGGTTTAGATAGCTTTCTAATGCCATAACAAGGTAAAAACTGGAATCTGCTATCCGAAAAATCTAGAAAAGAAGAAGGGATTGGACCAAAAATTTCACGGAAAAGAATGCATTAACTGAAAAGAAAGATGGTTGATCATCACCTCGGTGTCACTCTAAGATACTGAATACACTTGTTAATCCGGATGGATACATGAAAGGTTATTAGAACCATCAAAAACTCTCCATCCCAACCCACATAAATCAACCTCTATTTATAAAGACTAGACTCTTCTACTTACAAGTACGTCATTCTAAAATATAGAGACGCAACAACAAACTAAAACCCATAAATCAAGACATAAATAACTATAAAACTCTAGCTCCTGCGTCATTCTCGCAGGGTTAGCAAGGTTTCCTCATATCGAGCAATCTCAGAATCTATTTCATAAAGAGCAACCAACCCAAAGATATTGAAAAATGATGGAGTCGCTCTAATCCCTAGTTTGGTTAAGTTGGTGATCCAAACATCTTGCAACATTATCACCATTAGAATTGCATCAAGGGACTTCAAGCTCCAATTTTGAAGCATCACAATCCACTTGTCATCAATTTCTTGAGAACCATGACTAATTGATGCAATTCTTGCTGGAAGATATTTAACTTGTCTCATATCACATTTGGAATGCAGTGATTGAACTTTCAAGCTTGATTGTTGTCGAAGTAATGATGCTGGATCCATATGACTGTGTTTATCAATCCGATGCTGATGGTTGAAAGAAGCAGAATCAACATATCGACTGATACGATTACTCTGCAAATTTCACCCAACATGGTAATCTTTACTATCAACTCTTTTGTCAACTACATGTTTAAATTTTTTCTCCCCGAAAAATTTCTCTTTTTTGAGCATATCCACGATTAGAAGCAAAAAAATAATCATCGTTATATACATTATATGGGCACCGATGATGAATCCAACATTGAATCTTTAAACCAATCATTCTTTGGAACCAATAGAGTCGGAACCGACCTTGGGCTAGCACTACGTCGCATTAAGCTTTTGCAGATCAGCTCATCCACTTGGCGTTGAAGTTCCTTGTGATTCTTTGAAGGCATCCTATATGTAGGTTTGTTGGGAATGACCAAACTGGGGACAATGACAATGACATGTGTCTCTCAAATAGGAGATAATCCTATAGAAATCTCTGTTTGAAATATTTCTTCGAAGTGTTATATCAACTTCTGTACTTTGAAAGGAGTCACTGATAGCTATCCGAAAGTCTTAGTTATGATCAAGAGGTACCCTATAACTGTCTCTTTATGATTTTTCAGAAGAAATGAAAGCGTAAAGTGTTGATTTCAGTCCCGATATGAATCTCTTCCACAACACCAAAGTGGTTTGAATTCCCTCTTTGATAAATGAATAAGCGTTAACATACCCATAGTTAATCATATGACGATCATATTGTCAACGTCGACCAAGCAATATGTGACAAGTTTTCATAGCAATTGCATCACATAAAACTTGCTTCTGTAACCGGTTGACTTTAATTTCAACCCTCGTTTTGAGCCACGTGAGTTGGTAGGGATAGAGATGAGGTTGATTAGTTAACTCAAGCTTCTCTATCATGGTTGTTGCAACCACTTTCTTAGAACTATCGTCCATAATAAGGTTACAAATCTCGTCCCGGTTGTGCGCTGAGTTCTAAAGATGTTATGTCATAACCAATCTTTATTGAAAGATTTGACACAAGAGCTATAGTTTTATTTTAGTTTATATATCTTGGTTATATGTTTTAGTTTGTTGTTATCTTGACGTTTTAGGATGACATAATTGTAATTAGGAGAGTTTAACCATTATAAATAGGGGATATTTTGTGTGGGTTGAGCAGAGAGTGTTTTTGTTTGGTTGTATTAACCTTTCTCGTATCCTTCTGGGTTAAGAAATATATTCAGTATCGTGGAGTGACACCCAGGTGATGATCAACAATCTTTCATTTCAATTTATGCATTCTTTCCTTCTTTGGCATTTTTTGTCTAAGCTTTTCTTCTTTTTTGAAAATTTTGAAGTGCATATTCATGTTTTATCTTGTTACGGTATCATCTTGGTATCCGAGCGCTGTTGTTGCACATTTTTTCCCACCCTCTCCGAGTTTTTGCACATTTTATGTTTTTCTTTTCATTTGTTTCAAATTCTCCTTTCTCTAGAATTTTGTCCAGATCTTTTTTGCTTTTCCTAATTTTCAATGTCTGCAAGAATTGTCTTGCAGTTTTGCAATCCATGTTTCTTCAGTTTGTAGTCCAGGTTTCCACTGTGTTGTAGTCCATGTTCTCTTTTCAGATTTCAGTAAGTGTTAAGACATAATCTAGCATGTTCTGCCCTTACGTCCCGTTTCCATTATCACATGAGCTTCATCATTCCTTACCGTGGGTTTCATCTGGCCTTGCATTGGGTTTCTCTACCATTCAGATTCCTTGCTGTGGCCGCAATTTTTTGTTGTCATATGTTACCTCGGTACAGTCGTGGAAGGTTGACAATCCTCCATCTTAGATTTATTGATTCCAATTTTTGCTCAAAAATTGCGAACAAATTTTTATCCCCGCATTTGTTTGTGATTTTTTCCGCTTTCAATCATGTTGTCAATGAGGGACAATGTCCATCCATCCTAAGATTTGGTTGTGGAAGAATTTTAACAAGGAATTCGTTTACAAACAATAATAGTGCTTCTTGAACAACGAGATCCAGAAGAATGTCAGAATGAATCCGAAAATGAGATGATCGACGAGGAAGAAAATAGCTTATTCTATCAAGAGACATCTAGTGGTAATGGACAACCTTTACATATGTTAAGGCGTGAAAATTGACGGAAACCTCTAGATTTGAGAATCGAAATCAAACTTCCTGATTTTGATGGAAGATTGGATCCCAATGAATTAATCAGTTGGCTACATATAGTTGAACAAATTATGAAATTTAATGAGGTGTCCCAAAAACATATCGTTAACTTAGTAAAACTTGAAGAACGCCTCACTTTGGTAGAAAATATTGAAGAGGATTCGACAAAGAGAGGGAAGATCTAAGATAACTTTTTAGACTAAAATGAAGAAAGAAACACAACGAAAATTTTTACCCGAGCATTATTGACAAGAATCTTCATTCAACTTCATGAACTTCATCAACAAGATTTATCCGTAGAGTAATATATCATCGAATTTGAATAGTTGGGGCTGAAGTGCAATCTTTCCGAACCCGAAGAGCACATTATTACAATTTTTTTGGTGTTCTATGATCATCTATCACTATTGTGGTTCAACTCGAACTGTTCTAGACATTACAAGATGTGATCTTGAAATAAAGGTTGAAAAGCAACAAAAATTGGGTAGGAACACCCTAATATGCATTCCTACCAATGCTTTGAACTGTTTTAACTAATAAGTTCAATTCCAGGCACATGCCAATAGTCGAAATGTTGAAAACAACAACAGAAGTGTTTTCCACACGCAAGGGACTACTACCACAGCGAGGAAGGAACTATATCATGTATACGATGCTTCAAATGTCACGGGTTCGGCTACATAACATTGAGTTGTCCTTACCAATGCATTATTTCATTGGTTGAGGAGGTTGACCTAGAGGAAACTGACTTGGTATAAGAATAAGATACTAATCCAACGAAGGACTAAATCGTACATGCTAATGAAGAAGAATTACTTGTGATAATATGTCACCTAGTGTCGAACAATCTTCCAATAAAATTGATTACGACATATCATTTTTAGAATCCGGTGCACAATTTGGGATAAGGTTTGTAACTTTATTATCAATAGTGTAAGTTGTGAGAACTTGCTTGCCATAACCATGGCGGAGAAGTGTTAGCTAACTGCTTAACGTCATCCCTATCCTTGCCAACTCACGTAAGGAGGCTGAAATTACGGTCAACCGAAAATTGATTGTTTTGTTTTCGATCGGTCGAAAACTTCAAAGGCAGGTTTTATGTGATGTAATCTTGTAGACGCTTGTCACATATTGTTTGGTTGACCTTGAAGGAGGGATTCAGGTAAGGACTGAAATCAACACTTTTACTTATTTATTGTTTTTGAAAGCTTTTGAAAGCTCTTAAGTAGAAAATTATGAGGTACCTCTTGATCTTAACCAAGAGTTCTGGACAACTATTGACAACTCATTACGAAGTGCAGGGATTGATGTGACAGTCTAAAAATATATTTTCGACAGAGATTTATGTAGAATTGCCGGCTATGAGAGGTACAACATGCCATTAATTTTGTGCTTGATTTGGTCATCTTCGACAAATCTGCATATAGGTTGTCTCCTAAAGAGCAAGAGCAACTTCAACGCCAATTGGATAAGCTGATCCACAAAAGCTTGTTGAGATGTAGTGCTAGCTCGTGCACCATTTCAACTCTCTTGGTTCCAAATTTGAAGATTCAAAGTTGGAATCATTATTGGTGCCCATGTACGACATGCACGACGATTATTATTTTTTGGCCTCTAATCGTGGATGTGCTAAAAAGGAAAATTAATTTTTCAGAGTGAAAATTTTGAATATAAAGTTGACAGAAGAGCTGATGGTGAAGATTCCTATACTGGAAGGGATTTGCAGAGCGATCAAACTAGATGATATATTGATTCCTCTTCTCTCAGCATCAACATTAGACTGATATATATGGATCAAACATCATTACTTCGACTACAACCATGCTTAAAATCCCAATCATTGCATTCCTATCCTGATATGAGATAAGTTGAATATTTTACAACAATAACTATACCTATTAGTTCCGGTTCTCAAGAAATTGTTGTCAATTGGATTGAGATGCTTCAAATTAGAGCTTGAAGCCGGTTGATTCAATTGCAATATTGATAATGTTGGAAGATGTTTGAATCATCAAACTTAGGGTCTGTTTGGGGCAGCTGCGAATAATCTGCTGATAAACTATGATAAACTAATTAAAAATAATCTACTGATAAGCTAGGTGCGGTGACTTTAAAAATTTTTATTTTTTTGGAAAAGCCAGGCCGCCACCAGAAAGCTGCCAGTGTGAAAATGCTTCTTTCAGTGTTTTCAAAACACATAAGCTGCCAAAAAACAGTTTACCCAACAGTTTACCCAAACAGTCCAATCAATTGCGTTTTCAAAATGCCACCGCACTAAATAAGCTGCCCCAAATGGACCCTCAAGCTACTTATGGATTATAGAGCAACTCCATTATTTGTCAATGTCACCGAGTTGACTGCTCATTAGAAATCAGATTTTGTGATTACTTAATATGAGGGAACCTTGCCTACCTTGGGTGAATGACGTAGGAACTAGATTTTTATTTTAGTTTATGTCTTGGTTTATGTGTTTTAGTTTATTACTATATTCTATGTTTTAGGATGACATACTTGTAATTAGAAGTGTCTAGTCTTTATAAATAAGGGTTGTCATGTGTGGGCTGGGGAGAGATAATTTTTGATTGGTTGTAATAATCTTTCCCGTATCCTTCCCTTAAGAAATTTATTCAGTATTCTCAATTGACTTTTATGTGGTGATCAACAATCTCTCATTTCAATTTATGTATTCTTTCCCTTGGGATTTTCGGTCCAAGCTTTTCTTTTTTTCTGAAATTTTCGAAGTACTGATTTTTGTTTTACCTTGTTGCAATATCAAGATTGTTTAATACTTAGGAGACATCTTATCGCAAGTAATTCCTCTTCATCCGTATGTATTATTTGATCTCGTTAGATTAATATCTCCTTCTTGTACCACATTATTTTCCTCTAGATCAACCTCCTCCACCAATGAAATAATGCAGTGGTTAGGACAATTCGAGGCTATGTGGCCGAATCCATGACCTTTGAAGTCTCATATATTGGACGTAGCTCTTTCTCTCATTGTGGTAGCCGCCCCTTGCAGCTGAAAATAGTTTTGCAGCTGTTTTCAACATTTCGACCACTGGTCTGTGCCCGAAATTGGACTGATTTGCTGGAACCACCCAAATCATTGGTAGAAATACTTTTTGGAATGTTAATACCCAATTTATATTGTTTTTTAACCTTCTCCTTCAAGTTAATTTCCTCCTATAATATTCAGAATAGTTCAAGTTGAACTACATTAAGGATAGATGGTCGTAGACCACCCAAAAAATGTGCAATAATGCGCTCTTTGGGTTTAGAAAGATTGTGCTTCAACCCCAACAGTTCAAATTCAACAATATAGTCCTTCACAGATAATTCTTGTTGATGAAAGTTATGAAGCCGGATGAAGACTCCATGTCGGTAATGCTGAGGTAAGAATTTTCGTTGCATTTGTTTTTTTCATTTTGACATGATATGATCTTGGATAGTTTCTCTCTTTATCAAATTCTCTTTAAGTTTTCTCACTGAAGTGAGACGTACTTCTTCAATTTGATCGCCACTAATTTTACGATATGTTCTTATGACACCTCCTTAAATTTCAAAATTCATTCAATTGTATGTAGCTAATTGATGAATTCACAGGCATCCAATCTTTCATGAAAATCAGGAAGGTTGATTTTGCTTTTGAAATCTGGAGGTTTTCGTCGATTTTCATGCCTCAACATACATAGAGGGTGTTCATTATCATTAGATGTCTCTTGATGAAATAGCTTATCTTCTTTCTTGCCGATCACCTTATTTCCAAATTCATTTTGACATTCTTCTGAATCGCTCTGTTTAAAAAATGCCAATATTATTTGTAGACGACGACTTTCTTTTGCAATTCTTCAACAAACAATTCACGGGCTGGACAAACATTGTCCCTCCTTGGCGGCATGATTGAGAAGTCGAAGATGGGGGACTATCAACCTCCTATGGTTGTATAGAGGAAACCCACGGGTAGAGAGAGGAAAGCCGCTCTTGGGCAATAGAAAATTGCGGCCACAACAGGGAATCCAAACAACAAAGAAACCCACGACAAGGCCCGAAGAAAACCTCGATAGGGACAGATGAAACTCAAGTGAGAAAGGAAACAGGAGGAAAGGGCAAAAGAAACTTGATTATGCCTTAGCTTTCACCGTGGAGAACTTACTAGAGCGTAAACTGCTAACCCAGGAAACCTGTATTGCAAAAGCGCAAGACTTTTCTTGCAAGAATAGGAAAGATCTTGAAAGAATTCTAGAGAAAGGAGAAATTCGAAAATAAATGGAAAGATAAAATGATGAAATGCACAAGAACTATGAGAAGGAAGAGAAAAGATGTCAAGAACTGTGCTCTGATACCAAGATGATACCTGAGCAAGGTAAAAACTGAAATATGCCATTTGAAAAATTCAGAAAAGAAGAGCTTGGACCAAAAATCCCAATGAAGGGAAAAGAAAGATGGCTGATCGTCACCTAGGCGCCACTCCATGATGCTGAATACATTTCTTAACCCCGAAGGATACAAGAAAGGTTATTACAACCAATGAAAAACTCTCCATTCCAGCCCACGCAAAACAACCTCTATAATGGCTAGACTTTCTTAATTACAAGTATGCCGTCCTAAAACATAGAGACAACCACAAAGTGAAACATATAAACCAAGACATAAATTGAAATAAAAGTCTTTCTCCAGTTTTACTTTCCAAATAGTCATTTTCATGTAATCTGATTATTCGATATAATAAAAAAATTATCATTTTAATTAGTTATAGATTATTTATTAATGATTTATTTATCTTATTATATAATTGTTATTTTGGTTAAGCAGGTATTCCTTGACGCTACAATTCTGCAACATTTTAAACTTTAATCTCATCAAATTATTTTTTATTTTATTCCAGAGCATCAATATAAAAAACATTGTAGATAAACTTTTGCAAGAGATTCAAAATGTTATTATTATTATTTTTTTGCATGCTCATGTTATTGTTATACTATTTTCTTTCTCATGAATTTGAGAAGCTCAGTATTTCTTACCCTATATTCTGAAAGTGGAAAAATCACAATAGTTGCTTATTTCAATCATCCTATAGACAGGTAGGCAGAAAATTGATTCGAGAAGAGTAGTCATTGGTAATATCCATGTTCTTTTTAATCCAAAGCGCGGAGATATCAAGTTAGGACAGGTATTTTTCCTTTGAGATACTTCTTCGGCAGTTTGAAGTTCAATTGAAAAAAATTAGAGGATTTTTTAAAAAAAAATGATAAAAAGATTGATACAATTCTTTCCCAGCTGGCTCATTATTTCAGTATAATAATGAAACTCTTTAATTTTTATGTATTTTTGTTTTTCCCTTTTTAGCTAAATGTGTTCTTTCTCATCTATATCTATATTTTTCTTGGAATGTGTAAAGTTTTTTATTTGTAATTGACGGATGGTATGGGAATTTGGGTAAAAAACTATTTTCACACCCGAGTTTTTTCCTTAAATATCATATAAATGAACGGTACAATGGTAGGGTAGAATACTAATAAATATTTAAAACTAATCTTAATCGTAAAAATATATCCAAAACTAACTTTATGTTGATGGTATCATTTAAGTTTTTACGCTTTATCTTTATATCTTGTTCTTATTTTAAAGTACAGTTTTTTTAAGTTCTTTCTAACTTTCAATGGGATTCTGTGATGCGGGGTTTACCTAGATGCTGGCCCCTTGGTCTGGGTTAGGGCTGTCGCCCAAGGGGAGGGGTCTCCCCCTTTAGTTATCTACTAATAAAAATTTGTTAGTTTCCTTTGATTAGGTTTCAGTTTTTGCTTCAGACTTTTCCCTCCTTCCTCGTCTTTTCCTTTGCTAGTGTTATATCCCAATACAAATGGTGCTCTGGCAATATCCTATTCCAAGATGGTGATTACCTTCATTTATCTCCTTCTACCCCCACCAACCTTTTTATCTCTCCCCAGCTTCTTGCCACAACTTCTATCAGCCTAACTGCTTGCTGCCGCCCCTACCTATCCTTCCCTAACCGCTGTCCATCTGCCTGTTGCTTGTTGCTGCACCTCCCCATTGCCAACCTGTTTGCTGCCGTACCTCCATATCCTCCCCTACTTGCTGTCCAGCTGCTGCCTACTACTTTCGTCCTCGCCTTAGGATGTCTCTTGTGTTTCTGTCATTTTGTTCCTGTTTTTAAGAGTATGTGTTGTAACCCCTCTGAAGTTCAACAATTAACTATGGTATTCTGTCACTTTTTTTTTCTCCATTTCAACAGGTTCGCGTATTTTTGCAGCAGGCTCATGCGCTTTCTGAGAAATGGGGAGGAATACCAATAGTACTTGCTGGTGATTTCAACAGCACTCCAGAAGTATGTTTTTATTTTTATTTTTCTTATAATGCTATAGCTTTGTTCATGCTATTTGAAGTGCAGATGTTAGATAATTTTGAGTTTGTAAAAAACAGCTACTATTAGTGTCAATGTTTTTTTTATAATTTATCTTTGAAAGATTTACATACACACCACTCAATTCCTATGCATATACATATCGAACACCTAACCTTCAATTTTTAGGTACAGACCAACTTATTTATGCATGAAAAGGTGTATTTCACTTTTTAAAAGTTAAAATGATGGTATTTTTTATGTGATATGAAAGCTTAGGGTGGTATAAATGTAAAAATTAAATTGGAGGTGTTAGATATGTAAATACATAAGAACTAGGTGGTATGTATGTAATCGCCCCTTTATCTTTTCTAGGAGTAACAATCCTGTAGAAGTTTTTATTCCTTTCTTTAAATTGTTATTTTTTTGGGTCCTATTAACTTTATACCACCGCAGACTTTTTGAGACATATTCATGTATAAGCTTATGCAACAGCTTTGATGTAAATCTTTAGCACATCATTAAGCAATAGATTTATTTGCATGTAATTGCTAACTTTAAATTTTTATCTTCCCACTTGCAGAGTGCGATCTATGAGTTCTTGTCAACATCAGAGGTGAATATACTGCTTGTTGGCCCGTCATTTCCATGTATCAACGTGCTAGTTCTGTTTGAAGTCGTGATATACCATCTCATCTTTTTGCCAACCTATTAACTGATGTTTTTGATTTTATTTTTTATGGGGCATTCACAGACATACCACCCAATTCCTATTATGTGCATATCTAATACCAAAACTTTGCTTTCTTACATCCCAAATCTTTCAGATCACTAATTTAACTTTTAAAATGTAAAATACACATTTTCATGCGTCAGGTGGTATGTATGCCAATTTTAGGTGTTAGATATGTACACACACAAGAATTGAGTGGTATGCATGCAAATCTTCCTAAATATTATGCACTTTATTGATTCCTCCTGCAGCTGGATATTACTAGACATGATAGGAAATTCCTTTCCGGGCTGGAGCCTAATCTTCATATTTTCTCTGGGTAATGGACAAATGCGTACTGTTTTTATTGATGAATAATGTCATCTCTCGTCTTTAGTGTGTTTGATTGTATATAGTCACTTGTTTGAGTTGGATATATAGTGTCAAAATAGTCTTTTTCTCTCTTTGCAGGTTGTCATTTTAGTCCCAGAGTCTATAAAAGTGCAAATTTAGGACTATTTCAGCCTCACTTTAAGGGGGATTAAGACTAATTTGACACTCTTCTAGATTCTAGGACTAAATGACCCTACTAAACAGTCAGGAGTCTATTTTGGCACTTTATTAATTTAATTTGATGTTCTTTAACTGTTCCATCTCTATGGCTTAAGTATATGACTATTTCAGCTTGATCAATCATTGTTGGACTGATGAAGAGCTGAAAAATGCTACTGGTCATTCAAGCTGCAAGCTTCTTACACAGCCTTTGAAATTGCAAAGCTCGTATGCTCACATCAACGTACTGATATTTATATATATTTTAAAGAAAGTTTGCTTCCTTCTATTCTTGTGACCAAAATATAATTGGTGATCCTAGAATATTGTACATCATCACTTTTCAGCGTACTGGAAGGACTAGGGGTTCCTGTGGAGAACCATTAGCTACCACTTATCATTCAAAGTTCATGGGAACTGTTGACTATTTATGGTAGAGCTGCTTCTATATTATTTTTAATTTTTTCTGCTACTATGTATGAGTATAATCTTCCTTTTCTTTCTGAAGGTTTTCAGGAGAGCTTGAACCTGCTAGGGTTCTGGATACACTGCCTATTTCTACATTGAAAAGTATAGGTGGCCTCCCTAGCCGGGTAACTATTCATTTTACCCATATCTTCTTTTCTTTTATGATTCCTGAGATTATTTAGGGATTATTTGGGATCACTTTTTCTTTTTTTTTTATTTTTATTTTTTGCTTTTAGTTTTAAAACATGTTTGTTTAGTGCATTTTATTCGTGTTTTTAAATTTTATTTTGAAAAAAATACATTATCTTGTTTTTAAGTATGCTTAAAATTTGTCTCTTTAAGGATTAAAACCTTCTGAGGTATTATGACTTTCACTGTTCGTAGAATCAGCATTTTGAAAATTGAAACAACCCTTTATGTATTGATACTCTTTGCTGTCTTGGGTCTTTATCCGTTAAAATGTTACTTTTTAGTTAATGATGATGTGGTTCAATCCTGTCCCAGAAGGAAATAGAAGATCATTATAATCTTATGTTGTTCCTAATTAAAGGTGTTTACTTCTGCATTAACTGACAATGAATAAAGAGAACTGCAATAAACCTCATCTCAATGTGCATTAACTAACGAAGTGTTAATGGATTGTTCAACAATGAAGTAAATGCAAAAATAATGATGACTTATATTACTGTAAACATACCCCTTTGTTTTATACCATGGAGATTTTTTTCATTCCTTGACATTTTTTTTTTGACATGCAGTAAAACTCTTCTGACGTTCAACATTTTTCTAAGTGGCCGTTCGGGATCACTATTGCTTTTTATTATTCTATTTTTTGTTTTCATTTTGTTTTGTTGACGTTTGATTTGAAACGTTTGACTATTTGATAAAGTACAATTGTTTTTAAAAATACTCAACACCTAAAAGTTATTTTGAGTGTTTTCAAAAATATTTTAATTTGCTTTTAGAAATAAAATATAAAAATATGTAAAAAAACACATTAAACGAACATATATTTGAAAAAAAAAAAGTAGAGACAAAAACAAAAACACATATAAAAATGGTCCCAAACAAGCTCAGAGCTTATTTGACTCGGATTCATTGTTCCGAGAATTAAGTCAATTGGATTTTGTAGAATCTTCTTTTGGATCAAGAGAGCTTGCAGCAACTGAAACCTAACACTAATAACCATAAAAAATTCTTGTTGCTCAAATCACATATAATTAGTGGCAATGCAGTGAAATAATACAAGTCAAATCAAAACACGAGTTTAGTCCTCTATATTTAATTATATTGAATTTTATGCGCTAATTGCATTATGCTCATTTGATTAATTATTTGAGTTTATTTCGCTACTCAAAGTATTGGTCAATTGGATTTTTTAGAATATTATTGTGAATTAAGTGATACTGTAACAACAAACACCAAACCACAAACGCACATACACAGTTCATGCTGCTCATTCCTCATATAACTAGATGCAATACAAAAAGAGAAATAAGAACCATATTCTAGTTTGTGTGGAGTCATTGCACTATTATAAATTTAGAATGTGGTGTACAAGATAATGTCAAATTGGCCAATTTCACCATCCAAAAAATGTTAATTAGACAAAATTTCATCTCATTTAATGAAAATGAGGAATTCATAATTTCTTCTAAATTGCTTATTCAATAACCGGCCAATTAGAACTTCTGTGAGAAATTTAGATTATATGAAATATACTTCAATCAAGATTCATGTCATAATCAGAAATCCCAATTATATGCTATTTAACCAATTCCATTTAAACATGTAATCAATCACAACATATGTATATAAGTGTTATTGGTACAAGATGGTATACTATAAGTTATTGAAGAATATTTGCACTACTCTCTAAGAATCTGCATCCTCTAATTACATGCCTCAGTGTTCCCATTTATAATGATAAAAAGAATAAGAGTCAATAGTCCCCAAATCCAAAGGATGAAATTTTGGTATTAACTGTAATATTAGAAATATATGTTTAGAAATATAATCATTACTTACCACAAATCCTTCAATCTATTATAGTATCAGTGCCAAAATTCATGGTTTTCAAACACAGCGCCAGTTCTATAAGTTTCTAAAAATCTAATTCTGATCCGGATCAATTAGCTACAAGGGATAGCATAAATTTTAAAATTTTTCATCAAAGAAATAGAGAGCCAAATGTTGCAAATATGGAGAGCCAATAAACCAACAGTGAACTCACACTACAGGAATTAAGCAAATTTGCATCGTCCAAATCATACGTAAATCGAAGACAAATCCAACGATATTTTAGGTTTATCATCGGATTTGCATCCGATTTATGTCCAATTTTTTTCGCTGGTAAATCGGGGTCGGTTATGTCAATTCCGTAAATTTTGAGTCGAAATATTCAGACGCAAATAATTTTCGTTATATTAGCGTCAGATTTGTTTAGTCTACATATGTGACATTTGCTTTTGAAAATATCGGACGATAAAGAATATCGTCAGATTACCGTCGAATTTACGACATATAATATTGATAAACTACATAATATGATTATCAATTTAGCGTTAGATTGTTTGACGCAAAATAGACACAAATTCAACGCGAACTTATACAAAAAAAAAAATTCAGAAGTTCAATTACAATTCCACAACCTGCATACAACATATAATTCACGTCACATACCACATTATATCCAGCCATATCACAGATTAAAGTTCTAAAACATATGAATAATAAAAAATAAGTTAATTGTCACAAATCATTCCAAATAAGAATTATAAAGTTAGTGAAAAATTTCACAATACATGTTCAAAATAATACTTACAAATAAAAGAAAACATAAAAATAAACTACTCGTGATCTCCCTCCCCCTCCACCTCTATGGATGTCAATGTTTGCTTGCGCCGGCGATCTGCTAAAGTCTCCGTCATGCGCGCTATAAAGTTCTTGACCCTATGTTGAACTCCTAGAATTTGCTAGCGCAACTAGCGGATCTCTTCATTCATTACAACCACCTGGCTGACAAGAGCCTCCTGGTCTGGTTGTGAGGTGTTCGAGGAACTCAATAAGGGGCCACGGGAAAGCTTGAACTCGAAAGCCATGCCCTTCTCTCTAAGGCCATAAATCCTCCCGTTCTCTTCCCCATCGCCTGGGTCCAAAGCTTGTACTTAGACTACATAGTGGTAGACTGACTATCACTGCTATTGGCGGAAGTCCAAGCTTGAGTGGCCAAGTGCCTCTTTCGGAGCTGCTCGAACTCTTCATGCATAATTAAAACCAGTGCTTAATTGACACTTCAACAATTAGAGTCAAAATAAACTTTTAATTGATGGTTTTTAACTTACAACAACCAGCCGGGAATGTTCTAAGACTCACTGCACAACCCTCAGGCACCAATGAGTGCGAACATGCAACTCCACAATGGAGGGAGCATGACTCAACTCCTTAGCCAGCATAGCGTACAAATTGATTAATGCTACAAAATTACTTCAAGGATTGAATTAATTTTTAAAGATTTAAAAGAATCTTATCAACCTCCTGTAGTGCTCCGTATGAAAAACTGATTGCCAATATGGAGTGCAGCCCCCTGACTCGATTCGTTGCCCATTTCGCCCGATTCGTCTGCCTTTTCTCATAATCAGGAGAGCCCCAAGCTGCGGTCAACTAACCCCAAAGCTTTTCGCCGATTCAGGCAGGTCGCTCCCTTCTCAGGCGGGCTGTTGTGAGCATGTCTCTAAGGAGATGTCTGCCCCGAATCTCAAAGATTCGGCGCATATGATGGTGTTGCTCTGGGAGCCAGTGAAGGACCTCTGCAACTTAAACAATAATCTCTGTGTCAGTATAAAAAATTAAATTAAATTTACAAATCTGATTCAAATTACATAATCATACATCGAACTCCCTGAATCATAAGTTTCGAGTGGATTTGCTTTCATGAGGGATAGGTCTGATCGTACCTGCTTTTAATAATCTTTGTGATGCAGGTGACAGACATCCAGTAGGGAATGAATTGTTTAAGAACGAAATTAGTTACAAAAAAACATACAACATGAAGAATAATAATAATACAATGTTAAAAATAACTTACAAGTCCCCCTCTAGCTCTAAATATACCATCGGGTGGCTAGGAGCCGACAGACCAAGCTCAAATGGTGTGCCAGTAGCAGGTGTGGGAGTAGTTGCGGAAGCAGCAAACGTCACAGAAGACAGGGCTGCAGCGGGTGCGCGACCAGATGTCACAGGAGGGGTGACAACAGCGGGTGCAGGAGCTGGTGCCATAAGAGGGGTGGCAGTCGTGGGTGCGGGAGCAGATGCCACAGGAGTTGCATCAACAACAACAGGTGGGGGAGTAGTAGTGGAGGCAGTGGCAGAAGTAAAAGACCTTTTCTTCCTGCTACAGCAGGTGATCTAAAGTGTCCCCAGAATACTAGGTCTCTGAGATGGCTAACCACTTGTATCACGTTGCGGTCATCTGCAAATAAATGAATGATATTAATAAGATTAGTACTGCTAGAAAAAATAATCTTAAGAAGAAATAAACGGTTTAGTAAATGTAAGGCACAAGTAGCAACTGCCTAAAAGCCAGAAAAGTGAGAATAAAGAGCTTTGCCTCAATACAACAAATGTAAAAGACAAAAGGTAGCAGTAGCAACCACTAATCTAAAGTTTCATCAGAGGAACTCGTCGAAGATGAACCTAAAATTTCTTCTTCGTTCTTATCATCTTCCTCATCCATACCATGAACAATCTTTTCAAAACTTTTTGTGGCATCCTCTAGCTCAGACATTTTATTGATTGTGTTGCCCTGAATACGAAAATCTGACATACCTTCCTTCTGGTGAATTAGTTCTATAATATTATGTAGCTCAATAGTTTTCCTTGGTTCATTATTTATATCCACCTAATCAATTTTATTCTTTACTCTACCAGGGTATTGAATGTTATAGACCTGTGTAGCTTGGCATGCAAGAACAAATGAATCAAACTTTGTAAATCGTTTGTTCAATTTGACTTCAGTGATATCATAAGGCATCAGTGTTTGTGTTCCTCAATTTGGAACATGATCAAATCATTGACAGTTGAACAAGTATACAATGTAGCTGGCTTTACCTGGATATTGCACTTG